GCAACCTTTTCCTGTAAAAGAAGAAATATTGAACGTAAGACTCTGTGTTTATATAATTGTATTCTTCCGAATGTTGATGATATCGTCCATGTTGGTGCAATGTTGAACAGTAAATTTAACTCAATAGAGCGTACCTTACGTGCATGTTACGAAGCGGAACCATGATCATCATTCGATGTGGAGCCCATCCAAGTGCTTTAAATCCACTAACTATAAGTAGAACTATAACATGTAAAGTGTGTGCTGCAGCCTTATATGGTTGTGAATTATGGTGTTCATCCAGAACAGAAATATTAATGCTTGAGAGAGCACAACATTTCATCTTGAAAGCAATACAAGGTATTGAGACTAAAACCAGTACAGATGTGTACAAGTCAACTTGGATGGACTAGTATAGAATCCTACATAGACACTAAGAAATTGTTATTCCTAGGTAGGTTATGTAGATTAGATAAGACGAATTTGTCGTCTTGTGTGTCTTTACAAAATATTTTCTCGTTGATATAGAATCTAAATTAAGTTCAAATAGACAAGGGTTCGCAGTTGATATACTAAGAATACTGCAAAAGTGTAAATTGTTTGAAGTGTTTAATGATTTTTTAACTAACTGTGCTTTTCCGTCTAAATGTATGTGGTGTGTTAAAGTAAAGAATGCCGTATACTCAGCAGAGGAATTAGCGTGGCGAGAAAGAATGGCCAATGGTGTCGATTATACTAGATTTTCTCTTATCCACGGTCATTTAGTACCACATGTATTATGGGGACTGGCATTTAAATTCCCAGCCAAAAGAGAAGCTATACAATATGTCATGAAATTAATTGTAACTATCAGAGAGGGTGAGGGTGAAGAATTATGTCATAAATGTGGCTTTATGTACAGTGATATAGCCACCCATATAGTTCTACAATGTGATTATACAGGAGAGTTAAGAGATAATCTATGGTGTGATATTATAAATATAAAAGACATAATGTTTAGTGTGTGCTTACATTCCATGTCTGATTATGATATGTTTCATATCCTCATTGAAGGAAATGTAGAGCATGAGTTGAATTCATCAGAGTTCGATGACTTTCGCATAAAATCTGTAACTTGTACAAATGATGTCTTAACCTAAACTTAAAATGTGTCAATTGTAAATTCAATTTTTCGGTATTTTTTACAAAAAAATCCCCAGTTTATCTGAATGCTTAGATTGTCATAAAATCATCTCTACATAGTAACATAACCATTATGTGAAACTTTTACTGAATTCTGCTGGTTAATTGCAAAAGGGTAGAGCCTCCTTCAGTTTAAACTAACGTGCATACATTCCATGGTAATTGACCTCTTTACTGTATAACCAGTATAACTGAATATCTTTACACAGTGTTGTAGGTGCACGCATTTTACTTGACGGTAATGGTGACTTGTTGTTTTATCTTACTCCCAAGGTAACTACTAGAGGTTTTACTTTGCATGAAGAAATTGCTGACAAGACAAGGCAAAATTACGTCAACAAACACGCAGTGTGTACCAAAACTGGTGGTACCAATCTCTTCTAGAGTTGTCGTTCCTTACTCACGCGCGCAACTGTCAACAGTTAATCCGTAAAAGTGATAATTGACCTTTCTCAGTCGTTTACTTCTTCAGAAATAGTCTGAATATAGTATAAAACTTACGTCAAAACAAGTGTTCCGTCAATGCCTACAATATTGTTATGAACATGTAAGTATATATTCTGCTATTTCAGAAAATATGGCTGATGTGACCTCGTGACATTAGCGCTTTTGAAATATCGAACGTAGATTTGCATTTAAAGTCTTCACTGTTTATTAGATGATCGACACTTGAGATTATCTAGTGTGTCCATGATATGTACCTTATGACATCAGTCTTTATGTATAATGAATTCGCAGTTGTATTTGCAATGGCCCTCTCTTAAGCAGAAAATGTGTGGTATGAACACTCTTTAAGGTTAGAAATTTAATTCTGGATTACTCAGGCATATTTCACTTATTGTCTGTAATTTTCCTTTTGTTTGTTATTCCCACTTTTATTTTATATGCTGGTTTTACATAGGTAGTAGACGAATTGGTAGTAGGTACAGCTGACCCAGACTGAACTACACCGAATCATACAGCTGTTTCTTTCTTCTAGTGTAAGTTGATTATCCCAATTCGTCTATACTACTATTGAAATAGAAGGGGGTGATTATAAATGCCCGTAATTGATGTTATTAAAAATTCAGCCTTTACACTGTACTGATCGAAACAGTGTCCATTAGAGTGTAATGGACACACGTTTCGATACATTTCATCTCATTTGTTTTGAAAATTACAGCAGAAACAGTTGTAATTATTTGGCTCTCTGCGTTGAAATACCACTGTTTCCTTAATCCGTATTTCTAATAATTACTAAACACTTGAGTCAGTTTTAGAGAACATCAAATGTTTATTTCGTTACAGATGATGCTTACTTCACGTTTCCTAATCAACTGTTGTGTCTCGTAGCTATTACCGAGACCGTAGGTAAACGACCTTGACGACAATTCAGTATTTACTTTATTCTGATATGTACTCTCAGTAAGTTTCAACCTCCGGTCGGACATTATATATATAGACAGTGTAATAAACTCTACAAAAACCCGCTTTGGGAAACGATAAAAACAAACATAAACGTGAATTGCACTCGAATTTAGAACGAAAACATGAAAAAAGTAAAGTTCAGTGAGAATAAGACAGATTGTCACGGAAGAGTAAGCGTCTTCTGCTTCATCTACGACCCCCGCCGTATACATCTAGGTGTAATTCAGGTAATGGTACTTTCTCAAAGAGATAATCGGGGTAGAAACCACGACCTAACATCCAACTTCTAGGACTAAGGTAGATTAGTGTTACATCAAATAAATAAATATGCACTTCATCTTAATAGATCACATGATGTAGAATTATCTTAAGACATCATCCACAAACTCAATAAGTTGCTACCTCATCTGTACCTAGATGATCTCGAATGTCTAAAGATACGGGGTAGAAAATACAATTCTGATCGGCATGGACCACAGTGTTTATTACTTCTACGGATTTGAGGAGCTTGCAGCAGATTTGAGCGTTATTGTTCGATATTGCGTTGGGCCGTACTGGCAGATTTCTTACCCAATGGTATCTGGCTTGTAACTTGGCATCTTTGGAAAAGGAAGGAATTTATAGGGAATCGCTCGTGTGACAGTTCCTTCTAAGATTTTAGTGTAATTGTTCAATAGTTCCTTGAGCCGTATCTACAGTCTTCTTTCATGTGTCATATTGGAAGATTTCTAATCTAAGGGTAGATGATTCTTAACTTTGAAACCTTAGAAAAGGAAGGAAATGGTAATAGCTCAGTTCCTTTTAGGAATTTAGTGCTGATATTATCAGGTCCTGGGAATTTGTCACAGTTAGCCGGAGTAGTTTCTCAGAGCCTTGCATGATATTGACAGGGAAAACTAGAAGTTTACTGTTTTTTTTCTGGTGCGTTTTTCAGCTGAAGACTGAATGACATTAATGATCACATGTAAGCGTTAAGACCAACTCGGTAGCAAGCATATTAGTTTTCTTCAGTGATGGGGGTCCATCATTTAAAACTTTGTGTTCATGGATAATGATCAGATGACATTAACATCCAGTAGTGCTAATCGTCCTGGAATAACCAAACAATATTAAGTTTATACCTAGTCAGATGTTTGATTACATTTAGTTTAGCAAATACAACCCACCAAACGGTATTCACATATGGCTGAACACTCCAGACATCTACTGTAGTTTTTTCATAATTAGAGTAGCCCTCCCCCTCCCTTAAATTTGGCTTTAACTGCAGCGTGGCTTGTCCAATGTGGTGCCAGTGACTAGGAAGGTTATTGGCTATAACTGTAGTGTGACTTGTCCTATGTGGTGCCAGTGACTAGGAATATTATTTGGTTATTGTCTATAACTGTAGTGTGACTTGTCCAATGTGGTGCCAGTGACTAGGAATATTATTTGGTTATTGTCTATAACTGTAGTGTGACTTGTCCAATGTGGTGCCAGGGACTAGGAAGGTTATTGGCTATAAGTGTAGTGTGACTTGTCCTATGTGGTGCCAGTGACTAGGAATATTATTGGCTATAACTGTAGAGCGACTTGTCCATTGTGGTGCCAGTGACAAGGAATATTATTTGGTTATTGGCTACAACTGTAGTGTGACTTGTCCATTGTGGTGCCAGTGACTAGGAAGGTTATTGGCTATAACTGTAGAGCTACTTGTCCAATATGGTGCCAGTGACTAGGAATATTATTGGCTATAACTGTAGAGCGACTTGTCCTATGTGGTGCCAGTGACTAGGAATATTATTTTGTTATTGGCTATAACTGTAGAGGGACTTGTCCAATGTGGTGCCAGTGACTAGGAAGGTTATTGGCTATAACTGTAGAGCTACTTGTCCAATATGGTGCCAGTGACTAGGAATATTATTTGGTTATTGGCAATAACTGTAGAGCGACTGGTCCATTGTGGTGACAGTGACTAGGAAGGTTATTTGGTTATTGGCTACAGCTGTAGTGCGACTGGTCCATTGTGGTGACAGTGACTAGAAAGCTTATTGTGGTGACAGTGACTAGGAAGGTTATTTGGTTATTGGCTACAACTGTAGTGCGACTGGTCCATTGTGGTGACAGTGACTAGAAAGCTTATTGTGGTGACAGTGACTAGAAAGCTTATCTGGTTAGAGTGATAGTATAATGATCAGAGGTCCAGGGTTTACATCAGAACACCGTTGTTAATCCTTATTTTTATTTCCTTTTTAAGATGAATTATTTCTCAAAATAGTTCCGCAAGCTATTTTATTTTTTTCAGATTACCAGTTTTATAACTATAACTAAGCTGGAAATATCTTCACAGTTCATAGATACAATTCTGGTCAGTGGGACAGAAATCTTTATTAAATACTGGACATTTGATGCAGATCCATGTTCTGTCCATCTTAATACACAATAACAACAACATATAGGATTTGTTTCTTGTTTATTTTTTTAAGTTACCATGAATTCATTTCATTTGTTGTATGATGCTCACCAAGTAACATTACGTGATATCCTTATATATGGTGAAAAAAACAATACTATTGCTCACATAATTTTGGTCTTATATTTTGCTTTCACACCAACACATATCACACATTTGTCATTTCAAGTTGAAATGAATCAATACAATGTACATAATTTATAATATTTTACATTTTCCTTTTTACTGGGTATAAGTTTGGTTGCACGAGCCCAAAGATACTTACAACATGATCACGAAACACACAGAGGTTTATCACCTCACTAAATACATACACACACCTCCTGCTTCGTTTATTAACTTATTGTGCAGGAATTCAATAACCCATCAGTTCCGTATACATCCTAACTTGTAAGGTCACTATTAGCACAGGGACTAGTTACTTAAAGCTTTACAGAAAATTAAAATGATCGATGTTGTCCGCCGTGCAGTTTGAATATTTCATTTATTTATTTGATACAGTTGTTTTGGGACTTATAGTTTGTCTGGATATCAAGTACAGGAGACCTAGGGTGATTGTGTATCACAGTATTACAGTTAATCGTAAACAAGTACAGCTGACTTGTTCTCGGACTCGACAAATATAAAGCGTACTCTGTAAAAACTAGAAACCCCTGGAACCTTACAATTCGGCCGGTTTGCAGAGACTTCTGGATTGTGTAGTCCACTAGTTTTACGATATCATTGTTGGAACCAAATCCTTGGGCCAGTTCAGACAAAAATCTGGAATGGACAGAGTCCAGTTTTGACAGAGTATACTATACTTAACTTTCTGTAAAGCTATAAGTAACTACAAAGCACAAGTAATACTTCAAAAAAGTCTTCCTACACAGAATGATTTGTGTACTATAACTAGTCCTAAGTGTGAACATTGTTCCTTGATTATAATTGTATGAGTTTCCTCCCCTTATTTTCTCACTCTACACATATTTCAAATTTGTAGGAACACTTCATACCTATGTACAGAATAAGTTATGTCACAGAATTGTTTACCACATATTTTACACCTCAATAACATATTACTTGCCTCATTTTATGGGGCTACTATTCATTGTTCAGGGACTGCTAACGCGGGTATTAAATCTGTGTGCACCTCCACTTCAGTGAAGTTGTTACGTAGCGTACTAGCTATGAAACTATTCAATAGTTCATTTAAATCGTGAACATAGCAAAATGCAGTACAATGTACCCAGCCAATAACAGCAACTCAATACATCAACAGATACACACAAAAGACAGGTAAACACTCGTGTAGTGAGACCAGACTTTATAGACACGTTAGGACATCCGGTAATGTTTGACATGATGTCGGTCAAGTTGAATTTTACGCGCATGTGTTTGAATAAATTGACCCCTTCCCCGAAAAAATATCTCTGAACTGAGCAGGAGTTGACACAAATATTGTCAGAGTTTTCAAAATACATATGTAGATAAAGCACTGCCTTGCACAGAAAATCATGAATTTTTACACAGAGGCGTAACATTATACCGCCTGTCGTAAAGTGCTTCATCACATTATCCACATTACGTTATGCATTTAAACTGTGGACATTTCTCTGTGTACTAAGCTCAACAATGATACAGGCCAAAATAATTTATTTTTACATGATAAAAAAAATCAGTCGTCTCAAAAACTGGGACTTTCTCAATATATACCCCTGTGGCAATAAAATAACACTATTAACCCCTTAAATTTCATAATGAATTATTTAAGTTTTTGAATTGGAAGAGTTCAAATGTGTCTTCCGGGGTGAGTGAGTTAAGATGAGAGGAGCCAACTTATTCCAGCACCTGTGGTTTTACATTACTATACCAAACACGCAAACACACCTGTAATCAACATCATAATTACAGACAATACAAAACATAAACACAGGCAACTTGCCTGTATTCATCAATGTCATCACACACAACACAACAGCTTTGCTGAGAAACAGGTACCATCAGTAGTAGGTGTCTACAATCTAAAACTACATCACATGTGTATCTGCTATACCAACTACAATTCTTTGTAGATACATAAATAGGATCATTGATATCATTAATTTACATAAGAATATTGCTACATCATTTCAAACAAAAGGCCCATGGGCCAGTATAGCTCACCTGGATTTTATTTATATCTCATATATAATTTAAAAGAACAATTTAAATATTTGACAAGCTGAGAACAGGCTTAAAATGAAACAATACATTCATTATTCATTATATAATATGCATGTTCCTGCAATTCTAGTACAAATCTTTCAAACTACTCTATAGGAATAGACTTTCAAGGAATTCTTCATACTATATCTATTTAAAACCTGTTCACCCATTTTAAGGAGTAGTCATTTTAATTTTAAGATTAACCCCCATTTCAATATTAAACCCAGTCCCTTCATCCCCAAGGACTGTACTTTTTACATCTCCCATGTATGTGCATTACAAAAAACAAAGGTATAATCTGTCCATTTGATTAAACCAGCAGTCTGTAGAACAGCCATTCATATTGGGCCACACCTGCTCCTTATTAAACCAGCAGTCTGTAGAACAGCCATCCATATTGGGCCACACCTGCTCCTTATTTAACCAGCAGTCTGTAGAACAGCCATCCATATTGGGCCACACCTGCTCCTTATCAAACCAGCAGTCTGTAGAACAGCCATCAATATTGGGCCACACCTGCTCCAATGCAATTCACACAATTTTAATCCCCTTTACCCAAGGTCATGTTTCACATATCATTAAATCAAAAACTTTCAACTTCTATTTGAGGAGTAGTCTTTTTTTAAAAATTACCCCCAATTCTTTTACTGGACCATGGTCCCAATTTGGCAACACCCTAGATTCTTCCAGTGATACATTTTGATTTTACCTCTTTCTTTATGATAGACTGTGGTTTCACTGCTGCATAAATCCCTACTGACTGTGAACCCTTCACTGAAATACCCGACCCAAAACCTTTAAATGTATTGCTTTAATTTTCAAAAAAGTTGATCAGATATTTGACAAATGTTTTCAATATCAACAGTTTAGTTTATATTGAAGTAAAAGTGCTGAGACATATCACAGAGACAGCTAGTTTCATGTTTTAATTATTTTTTGAATAACTTTTTAAAAAGTTACAATATTTGAATATGTCTCTTGTAAAGCATGGGATTTTGAATCATAGCTTAAACTTTCAAAAGTACACAGGTTAAAATGGAAGGTTGGAAGATTTTTTTATTTATGATCTAACTCCTAATTTTGTATTATTTGCTATAACAATTATCTGGGCAAGAAGGAAACTGTTAAACTTTTCTAACTAGTTTGTTTCATAGTGAAAACATGACGAAGGTTTTTAATGGAACAATACTGTTTAAATGTTCTGCCTGATTCAATGATGAGGTAACCAAACTAAGCTGGTTCATTGACACAAATCACAGGTATCAGCATTGCCTGTGGCAGTCCACCTTGGCCTGGACTTCTTAAACGAAGTTCTGATACCAGGGTAGTCAGCTACACCCTCATCAATCAAGTAGTCAGCCTTGTTTGCTAAAATGTCTCTGGGATTAAAGAAATTAAGAAACAAGTGGGCCAATATCCTTCGTCTTATGTTGTCTTGTGGAGGACAAAGGGAGACCACTCATACTTCCGTGCCTTCTGGGACTGAGCTACGCCCCTGAAGATAGACGGCTGAGGTTTTCGGGTGTCTTGGTCGAACTCCTCGGTTCTCCGGTGGTGTTAGATACACTGCCCGGGAGGCCGGTGAACGCTGCAGATTCTGGGTCCCTAGAGATTCTCCGCTACTGTTGACTCCGCCAGAGCTTCCTGATGCCTGTAAGTAGAACACAAAAGTTCAGACTCGGCAAATTTATTATAATTTATAAATACACTAAGCCAAGACAAGCATTACAACTACTTGACCTCTGATCCATTACTCTGACCATGATAATATGAACCTTGATGTTATATGTGACACATTGTTAAGTGGTTATACATGTATACGTACCACACCGCTGTCCAGGGATCCTCCACTACTACCTCTCCTCATCCCTGGAGCTACAACACCAACACCACACCATTACACAGGACATCATCACCTAACACATTAGTCTGTAACTGGTGTCTTAACAAATATCACTGTCTGTAACTGGTGTCCTAACAAATATCACTGTCTGTAGCTGGTGTCCTAACAAATATCACTGTCTGTAACTACTGTCTTAACAAATATAACTGTCTGTAACTGGTGTCCTAACAAATATCCCTGTCTGTAACTGGTGTCCTAACAAATATCATTGTCTGTAACTGGTGTCGTTACAAATATCACTGTCTGTAACTGGTGTCCTAACAATTATCACTGTCTGTTACTGGTGTCCTAACAAATATCACTGTCTGTAACCGGTGTCCTAACAAATATCACTGTCTGTAACTAATGTCTTAACAAATATCACTGTCTGTAACTGGTGTCTAACAAATATCACTGTCTGTAACTGGTGACTTAACAAATATCACTGTCTGTAACTGGTGTCTTAACAAATATCACTGCCTGTAACTGGTGTCTTAACAAATATCACTGTCTGTAACTAGTGGCCTAACAAATATCACTGTCTGTAACTGGTGTCTTAACAAATGTCACTGTCTGTAACTGGTGTCTTAACAAATATCACTGTCTGTAACTGGCGTCCTAACAAATATCACTGTCTGTAACTACTGTCTTAACAAATATAACTGTCTGTAACTGGTGTCTTAACAAATATTACTGTCTGTAACTGGTGTCCTAAGAAATATCACTGTCTCTAACTGGTGTCCTAACAAATATCACTGTCTGTTACTGGTGTCCTAACAAATATCACTGTCTGTAGCTGGTGTCCTAACAAATATCACTGTCTGTAACCGGTGTCCTAACAAATATCACTGTCTGTAACTACTGTCTTAACAAATATAACTGTCTGTAACTGGTGTCCTAACAAATATCCCTGTCTGTAACTGGTGTCCTAACAAATATCATTGTCTGTAACTGGTGTCGTTACAAATATCACTGTCTGTAACTGGTGTCCTAACAAATATCTCTGTCTGTAACTGGTGTCCTAACAAATATCACGGTCTGTAACTACTGTCTTAACAAATATAACTGTCTGTAACTGGTGTCTTAACAAATATCACTGCCTGTAACTGGTGTCTTAACAAATATCACTGTCTGTAACTAGTGGCCTAACAAATATCACTGTCTGTAACTGGTGTCTAACAAATATCACTGTCTGTAACTGGTGACTTAACAAATATCACTGTCTGTAACTGGTGTCTAACAAATATCACTGTCTGTAACTGGTGTCTTAACAAATGTCACTGTCTGTAACTGGTGTCTTAACAAATATCACTGCCTGTAACTGGTGTCTTAACAAATATCACTGTCTGTAACTGGTTTCCTAACAAATATCACTGTCTGTAACTGGTGTCTTAACAAAGATCAATGTCTGTAACTGGTGTCCTAACAAATATCACTGTCTGTGACTGGTGTCCTAACAAATATCACTGTCTGTAGCTGGTGTCCTAACAAATATCACTGTCTGTAACCGGCGTCCTAACAAATATCACTGTCTGTAACTACTGTCTTAACAAATATAACTGTCTGTAACTGGTGTCTTAACAAATATCAATGTCTGTAACTGGTGTCCTAACAAATATCACGGTCTGTAACTACTGTCTTAACAAATATAACTGTCTGTAACTGGTGTCTTAACAAATATCACTGTCTGTAACTGGTGTCCTAAGAAATATCACTGTCTCTAACTGGTGTCCTAACAAATATCACTGTCTGTAACTGGTGTCCTAACAAATATCACTGTCTGCTAACAAATATCACTGTGTGTAACTACTGTCTTAACAAATATCACTGTCTGAAACAGGTGTCCTAACAAATATCCCTGTCTGTAACTGGTGTCGTTACAAATATCGCTGTCTATGTCTGTAACTGGTGTCGTTACAAATATCACTGTCTGTAACTACTGTCTTAACAAATATAACTGTCTGTATCTGGTGTCTTAACAAATGTCACTGTCTGTAACTGGGATCCTAACAAGTATCACTGTCTGTAACTGGTGTCCTAACAAATATCACTGTCTGTAACAGGTGTCCTAACAAATATCACTGTCTGTAACTGGTGTCTTAACAAATATCACTGTCTGTAACTGGTGTCCTAACAAATATCTCTGTCTGTAACTGGTGTCGTTACAAATATCACTGTCTGTAACTGGTGTCCTAACAAATATCACTGTCTGTAACTGGTGTCTTAACAAATATCACTGTCTGTAACTGGTGTCCTAACATATATCACTGTCTGTAACTGGTGTCGTTACAAATATCACTGTCTGTAACTACTGTCCTAACAAATATCATGTCTGTAACTGGTGTCCTAACATATATTCACTGTCTGTAACTGGTGTCGTTACAAATATCACTGTCTGTAACTGGTGTCCTAACAAATATCACTGTCTGTTACTACTGTCCTAACAAATATCACTGTCTGTAACTGGTGTCGTTACAAATATCGCTGTCTATAAATGGTGTCCTTACAAACTCTACGTCGGGCGTTTTTGGTCTGCATAGTTCACCTTTATTTGTAAATCAACAGAAACCATCATAACGGTGGCAGGGGTGTCACCCTGATTATAATGTTATAATTTTGATTAATATAAACACTATTAGTATAATACAATAATGTAGTAATCTTACTTACAATATATGTTAAGATATTGTAGTTTTAATCTATACAATCATGCCGTATTCAAATCATTTTTCCATCAGCATAATACAATATTGTAGGTACGTATATATAAACTTGATTACAATAAATTTTATCAACATTACACATTATTATTGTTATAATCTTGAAAACAATACTATATACTGTAATAGTGGAAATTCTCCTACAACGACGTTGTAATTTTGCAAACTAATTGCTGTGTGGAAAGTTTTCCTTACTTGCTATGTGTATTATTTTCTTAACTAATATTCGCTGTAATGATAAATTTGACCTCATTATGGAGGCCAGCAAACTGGGGGTAAAAATTTCCATGTAATCTATATATCTTTATATATTGTGTTCATATTTTCATGCTAATTTTCTCACATCGAAAAATGTAAGCCTTTCCACATGGCAATCACTCCCACTTCCACTTTACAGTATACAAATTGTCTATAATGCACATTGTCAGACAATCTATACAATGTCTATATGGTTATCCATGTGTCTATGATAACAGCATACATACATAGTATATAACAACATGTAACAGCAACATAGCAGGGATTCATTCTGGCCTACAATACCAGGTGTTTTTTTACATTAATTACACAGTGTTATATCTGTCCTTGATTAGTCTCAGGAAACTGGATATCCTTACACACGTTGGCACAATTTTCTTTTGTTTTTATACAAAATGCAATAGAGAAAATGTTGAATCCCTGATATTTTGACCACGAGTATATAATATATGCACTCTGAGAATTATATAAAATGGCTACATAACTAACATCGGAACAGAGATCGGAAAAAACAGAGATATAACAGACATTCCATAGAAAACAGAGATATAACAGACATTCCATAGAAAAGACAACACTGATGTGGTATATAACATACGTGATTGTTGACAACAAAATGCAGACAACACAGAAAGCTGACGGTTTATATACAGACATCCAGAAATAAGTACAGAAAGTAAGTGTAGCCTTGGAAATTAGCTCTAGGAAATGTGTCCTGGTGTAATTGTCATAAGATGGTGGGCTAATAAAGGCTCTAAACATGAACTCTGAGGCCCACACACCTTGTATCGCTCTCCAGTTCCTATTTGAGATAGAATGAATACAATGAATCCATGGCAATATGTCCTATAAACAGTTCAATGCTGAACGTCAGTTCTTTTATCATAGGTTAAGGAAGTCTAGCAGCAATACGATGACCTATTCCAGTAATGATAGCTGCTTTGTATAGAGAGTTAAGGCTGTTAATTGGTCGTCTACGGTGACCTTCCACAATGCCTGCTGCAGCTAATAAACCAGTTACACTAGGTAGATCTCATTTATTAGTCTGTCCTTTTGTTGTATTGAGTGATTGTTGGAGATTTAGTGATTTGATCCTAGATGTGTCGTCTGTATATCCCAAAGTTTTATTGTAAAGATAGAAAAGACCAGACAAACTATATAAAACAGTATCAGGATGGGAGAGCTGATATTTTGCTATCGTGTCTACTTTACATAGATACTTGGATCAACCAAGTCACCAAGTTTACATTAATCTACATGTGTGAACAGAATTTGAAAATGTTTCATCCAATCTGAATTATTTGCACATAAAGGAAATAGAGTGACCCTTAATACTAAATTTAGTTTAAATTCTTTTAGCCATTCTAGATGAGTAGTCTTTTTAAGGAAAAGTCTATTACAGAAGACAGACATTACGCCACAACATAAACTAGCTCACTCAGCTTTCAGCCATGTAAGTTAAAAAGAAAGTGAGAAGAAATGAAGAGAAACATCGACTCCTTTGTTCCTACACATGTAGCAACAGGAACACAATCAAGTCACAACAGATAAGATAGTGTCCAACTCAAAATTGGGGGGTAAATAAATAATAGAAAATTGAAATCAAAGAAGCAAATCATTTTTGCAAACTCCATAACAAGAAATTATATGTACAAATATATATATTCTAAAACAATATTCTGCCCTGTGCAATCCACATGATAGAAAAGTTTACATTGAATCTTTTGTACAGTATTATTCTTTTTATCCCATAGTCCAAGCGTCAACAAGACATCTAGGGAAAAAAATAGTGGTAAATTAAGTAGTCTGAGTATCAACAAGATATCTATCTAAGGAAAAAAATAGTGGTATATTAAGTAGTCCGAGCATCAACAAGATATCTATCTAGGAGAAAATATAGTGGTAAATTAAGTAGTCTGAGTATCAACAAGATATCTATCTAGGGGGAAATATATTGGTAAATTAAGTAGTCTGAGTATCAACAAGATATCTATCTAGGAGAAAATATAGTGGTA